CAACTATTGTAAATAAGTTTGTATTTTAATGATAGAGACATTTGAGCAGCTTGAAAAAAAAGTCTGACTTTATGCAGTTTGTTAAAATCATTTTTGAGGATATTAGTTGAGCATTCTGACTGTTCCATTTTTATATGATATGTTTATAATATGTATTTGAATAAGTTGAAAAGAATTGCAATTCTTAATTTTACAATCTGATTAAATGTTCTGAACAATTGGAGATAAATTTGTATTTTAAAATGAAGAATTGGGGAAAAAAGTACTTTTTGTCGTACACCTGTATACCATGGATTATTACATTTGAATAACAGCAAACCTGAGTTATAAGCTTTATCACAATGAATATAATAAATATAATAAATATAAGCAACAATATTTTTGTGAATAATATGATAAACATGAATCATTTCCTATGAACTAAACCTAAGTTTATATTTTATACTAATATCCTTCAATATTTACAAATAGTCAATCAAGTAGTACTCTTAGCACTCCTAGCGCTTTGCTAGACTTAACCACACAGTAAAATATTTAATAGTATTCAAATATTTTAAGATTATTTATCCATCTATTTAAATATCTGTAAACCTATAATAATAAAATATAATGATAAAACCTATAATAATGGAACATTAACTACCGCCTGTACTGCAGACCTTCCGCGGCTATTTACAATCACCATTGAAGAAATTAAAAATGTTCTCTTCTATTTATGGTCAACTATTTAAGCCCATCCCATTGTTTTCCATTCCAGAGTGTTATATTAATGATAATAATTTAGTTGTTTAAGCTTAGCTTCGGAAATTCTAGTATTTATTTCAAAAAGGATGTTCCGACCTATGCCAGTTAACCTTTTGGAGGGAAGTTAAAATAGTGCGTTGGCTTTTTATGGAAATTATGTATGTTGGGTTAAAGAACTTGGAATTGAACATTTTACAATATACCATAAATTTTTTATTGTTTTCTTTGGATGAATGAAATTCTTGATTTACTGACGCAGACCCACAACTCAAAGCCATAGGTCCAGATCGGTTTTATAATTGCTTCATAGACAAGTATTTTGTTTTTTATTGATAATTTAGATTTACTACGAAATAGCCAAAATAGTGATTTCATTTTTCTTTTTATGTTAGCACTGTTAGATAAATTCTAATAATAAAAAGAAATCAAATATGGATGGATTATGGACCGTTGGGTTACCATCTAACAATACGAAGTAAGGAGAAGTTTCAGTTCAGCAGCGTATATGACTTAATTAATAACTATAGGTTCTGATTGCCAGTAATAGGTTTAGATTCAGAGATATTGTTATTATTAAAGAAATTTTAAACACAGTTTGCATGTTGAGTATATTTTATTAAACCATATTGCATCATGCGAAAACATAATATTATTGTAATGTAAAACAGCATCTCATAACCTTTCTGAGAATGTTGTTATAGATGATATACATTGTGTTTTATGAGAGGAGTTGTAATAATACAAATTTTATTATAG